GTAGGAAAGATGGCTGCCTACGAGCCTTGGAGAGAAGCCTCAGGAGAAGGCAGCCCTGCTGATACCTTGACCCTGGACTTCTGGCCTCCATAACAGAAAATAAATTTCTATATTTTAAGCCACACACACACACACACACACACACACACAAAACCACAACGGCATTGGACAAAAAAATCAGTGTTCACATGGAACAGACTCCTCAAATCACCTTCAAAGACAATAGAAGATTTGGACAATGGAGCACAAGTGCAGACAGTCCCAGAATGTGTTGGTGCTCCCGCACCTACCAGTTGGATGACCTGGGACAAGCGTCTTCCTCTCTCTCAGCCTCAGCTTCCCAGTCTGTAAAATGCAGACAAGTCAGCACCTAGTATCTCACGGAGGCCGGACTTCCCATGACCTCACTGCCCTTATTTCCTTCTGCCCCAGTGACACTGGCTTCCCCTCTGGTCCCCAGATACACCAGACTTCCTCCCCCCTCAAGACCTTGGCCCTCACGGCTCCCTCGGCCTGGGCCGCTCTTCCCCCGGAGAACCCCATGGCTTACTCTGCAACAAGCTTTAGGCTGCTGCTCAAAGGTCACCTTGGGTCAGGGCCTCCCTAATCCTGCCTTCCTGCCCTATTTCTTATTATTTTTCAGAGCACTCACAGCTTCTATTGTATATTGTATTTCTTCTTTTATTTTTCCAACTGTAAGCGAAAGGATTTAGAAAGCCAGAGGTAGAGGGAATGAGCAGTAGAATTCACGGGCTCAGGAAATGTGTTGAAGAGGCAAAAGAAGGGGCCCTCGGAGCTTAGGAAAAAGGGAGGTACAGGCAGCAAGGAGCCTGAGGGGCAGGAGAGGGAGAGGGGAAAGGCTGGGGTGCCCCCGGCCCAGGGCGAGCACCTATGGTATTTCTTTACCTTTCTCTCTCTTGGTAGCCTCCTCTTTGAGAATGCAAACATACTCCGAGCAGGAGTATCTGTCTGTCTGGGTCACTGCTCTATCCCCAATGCCTAGAACCCAGACAGGCATGTGGTAGGTGCTCAGTAAATATTTGAATGGAGGAAGAGAGGCAGGAAAGAGAGGGAAGGAGAGAGGGAGAGAGAAAGGAAAGGGGAGAAGGAGGGGAGGAAGGAGCTACCCTACGTAAAGCACTTACCTGGATAAACACACTGTGGTATCTCCGATACGGTTCCGCCTTCGAAGAGAAGAGAATTCTAACACAGGCTACGCCGTGGATGGTGGACCTTGAGCACATTACGCAAAGGGAAGCCAGACACAAAGGGACAGACTGGGTGACGTACCTAGAGTAGTCACATTCATAGAGGCAGAGAACAGACGCGAGGCTACCGGGCCGAGGGCGTTAGTGTTTAACGGGTGCCGAGCGTCCACGGGGGGAGCCGAGAAAGGCGGCGGGTGGACGGCGGCCGCTCGGCCGCGGGAAAGCACTCAATGCCGTGGAGCTGCGCACTTAGAACGCAAATGGCACTCAAAACAGGCCATTTGTGCTCTGATGATTTCACAGTGAGAAAGCAAATTCACTTTTTAAATTTTTAAACGGTATTTGCTGACTGGAGAGAGAGGGAGAGAGCGGAACATCCATGCGCTCGTCCGCTTGTGGCCGCGTGCACAGGCTGATTCGCGTGTGTGCCCTGACGCGGGATCAGACTCACAGCCGTGGGGGATGAGGGCGCTGCGCTAGCCAACTGAGCTGCCTGGCCAGGGTGCAAATTAATTTTTTTAAAGTTTTGAACAGCCCGGCTGCGTTTGAAACCCACGTCGCTTCCTCCTTAAGGAGTCACCTCAACCTCCCTGATACCTCTCTCCTGCCTTTCCTTCTAGCGGCCTCCTCCCACCCCCCAGGGGCCTTTCTCGGGGTCCCTGGTCTTCTCGCTCAACCTAGTTCCCTCCGGGCTCTGCTCTCCGGTGCCCTCCCTGCTGCTGACGTCCACTGCTGTCCCCATCCAGGCAGCTCAGGCCTAGGGCTGCAGTGAGGTCCCTGAGGACCCTTCTCTTCCCTGCTCAGTCCCCTGGGCGCCGGTTTGTCCCGCTTCTTGCCCCTCCCGCACTCTGAGCTCTGCCACCCCGGTCCCGCCTGCAGGTCTCGTACTCACCCACCATCGCTCTCCTCCCTCCCACCCTCACCTCGCCCCACACGTGTGCGTGTGCGGGCCCTGAGCGCCTCCTCACCCCAGGCCCCAGCTTAAACAGCGCGCCCTCCGGGGCCTTCCCCTCCTGGGGCTCCATCAGGCCCTTGGACACCCCACTCCCTGACAGAGGCCCTGCCGGCCTTTCCCACCAGGCCCTGAGCTCCCGAAGGCCAGGACTGTGGCCATCCGTCCATTCAGTCATCGGCTACTCACTGAGCGCTCAGGCCATGGCTAACAACACGTTGCTAAGCTGGCGGGTGGAATGGGGAGCAGGATTGAGTCTGACGGGGGGGGCAGGGGGAGCGAGTACTCTGGGAGGTGCCCTGAGCTGGGTTGAGGGCCAGGATGGGCCACAATAGATAAGGCGGTTATGAGCCTAGCACACCATTGCATCCCCAGCCTTCTGGGCTCCCATGAGCTTCCGCGGGCTCCCTGTGGCTTCCACTGAGTGTTCTCAGCAGGAGGGAGACCTTGGAAACAAGCTCGGCGGAAGGGTCCCTGGAAGTCCATCAGAGCCAAGCTTTCTGCTTAAACTGGGGCCAGGGCTTGTGTTTACCAGGAGGCACTGTTATGTTGGCAACTTTTCATTTTGAAATAGCACCCTGGCTGGTGTTATTGCACTGAGCGCCGGCCTGAGAACCAAAGGGTTGCTAGTTCGATTCTCAGGGCAGGGCACATGCGTGGGTTGCAGGCCAGGTCCCCAATAAGTGGGTGTGTGAGATTCAACCACACATTGATGTTTCTCTCCTTCCTTCCCCTCTCTAAAAATAAAGTCTTTTTAAAAAAAAAAACTTTAAACATTTATTTTTAAATCAACCTGTTCGAACACCAGTGAACGTTAGAACTTAACGAAGTTGCCCAAATAGTGCAGACGGTCCCGTGTGACCGTGACCCCGCTCCCCGGGGTGACAGCTAGTTAACTGTGGTCCGACGTCAGACCCAGGCAGTTCACAGGGCACCGCGCTGTCCGCTAGAGCCCAGGTGTTATCCGCGCCCAGAGCTCACGCGTATCAGTCTGCCTGCCTGCGCGTGTGTGCGCATGTGGGCTCATGTGTTTCTATGTAAATCGATCCCGTTCCCAGATCTGTGTAAGATACAGAAGAGATCGCTCATCACCGAGCAGGCCCCTCAAGGCTCCCACCGATCCGTCCCCAGGGACTTCTTCCTTTACAGAGGGGGTTCGGCCTCTCGCCGGCACGTCGCCTGCTGAGTCACCAGGGCCTGGGCCGAGGCCTTCAGCGCCAAGCAGCAAGGCCCCTCCGCGGCAAGCAGGTGTGCACCTGGGCCAGGTGGGCGTGTGCCTTCAGAGGCGCAGAGCGAGTCCCCAGGGGCAGAGCTGGGCTCTTGGCAGCCCAGGCAGAGAGAGGGGCGGGAGGCGGTTAGGGAGCCAGCCCTGGGCCGGTGAGGGAGGGACAGGCCGGAGAGGCGGCCTCCTGAGTCACCGCGTGGTGGTCCAGGGAGGAGCTGCCCAGGCCCAGAGACAAATTGCAGTCATTAGGAAATTTAAGAGGCTGGGGGAGGGGCTGAGCGCTCCGGGTTTGGCTGTGTCCCCCAAACCCAGGGTCCCATCGTGGGCGTCTGCGGACCCTTCCTTAACTCACCGCTTCCCGTCTCCGGCTCTCTCTGGGACCCCGTCCCCCTCTCTCTGGGTCCCCATCTCTCACTCTGTCTCTATACAACACGCTCCAGCTCTGCGTTCAGCCTCTCCTGCTGGCCCCGTTTTGGGGACCGTGAGGACCCCAGAGTGAGCCAGCAGGGGAGACACGGGCCGGCCCAGAACCAGGTCCGGCTCCTGCTGGCTCCCCCGGCCACCGCCTGCCTCTCTCCCCGCTGCCGTCCCCTCCATCACCGTCTCCTCCTCCGATCCTGTCCTCATCACCTGTCCTGCCCCCGTCGCTTCCCCATCTGCCCCCTCCGCGCGCCGTCCTGCTGTCCTGCCAGGGCCTCGCCGCGCCTCCCCGTCCACCACCAGCGTGGCCACGACTCGGCCGGCGTGTGCTTGGGGGAGGCGGACACCTCTACTTCTCTCTCTCTTTCCCTTTTCCTCTTTCTTCGTGTCTGTTTCTGCTCTGTCTTCTCTTGCTCCCTGGTTTCTCGGCCTCTCGCTCTGCTTCGCCACCTCCGTCTCTGCGGGAATCTCTCTCTGTGCCTCCTGCCCGGTCTTGTCTGCCCCTCGGCTTCCCCACCCCGGCCCATCGCGCTCCGTCCTGCCTTCCACGCGTCTCCCTGGACCTGTGTTTTTCTTCGGTTTTCCCGGCCTCTCCACGTTTCTGTCGCTTCCCTCGCATTCACCCCCTCTCCCAGCCCTGCCCAGCACCTTCTGCTGAGCCCCCTCACCTCGCCCCCCGCCCCCGCCCCGGGGTCCCCCTCCCTGGATCCCTTCCAGAGTAGGACACATTCACCACCGGCCAGGCGGGTTCTCTTTAACAACTGTGGCTGCTTCTCTGGCCAGAGAGGGGAGGGAGGAGATGGTACGAGCGGAGTCCTGGAATGGGAACTAAGCAATTTAAAAAAAATGTCAGGAAAAGGGCGTGGTGGGGGGGGCAGGTCCAACTGCCCAGACGAGGGATAAAAGGCCTCCACAGAGTGACAGAGAGGTGAGGCACCACCCCCACTTCCTCCGCACAGGAAGACATCAAGGCCGGACCGGACGTGAGGCTTCTTCAGCATCCCCCATCCAGCCACCAGAGACCCCGGACCCTCCCTCTGGCCTCTACTCTGTCCAGTATCCATGTCTCTCATGGTCTCGGTATCTGTGTGAGAGGCTCTCACTGTCTCTGTCCCTCAACCTCCAGGTCTCTCGCAGCCTCCTTCTCTCTCACTTTCTCTCTGTCTTTGCCTGACCCCGACCCCCAGCCCCCAGAATGTTCCTCCTGCTGGCCGCACTTCAGATCTTGGCTGTAGGTAAGACAGCAGTGGGGGCCAGGGTCTGAAGGCCCCCGGAGATGCTGAGAAAGGAGGGGCAAGGGCCCTGAGGACCCAGGACGCCCCTGGGTGATGCGGTGGTGATCGGAGCCGGGGGTCGTTTGGAAATCGAGGCTGAGGAACGTGCCGGAGGGGGTCTGAGTGCTGACCTGTGGGTGTATCAGGAGGTTTTATGGGTCATAAAAGGAAGGAGGGCAACTGGGTGTTGCCGCATCGTGTCAGGCAGAACTAGCCCAGGGAAAGGCCGCGTGCGGCTGGAAACGGCGGTGGGGTGGCGCGCTCGTGGCCGGGACGTGGTGCGCCCACGGAGTGGGCGTGTGGGACACTTGGGGAGGGGGCTGGGAGCTCCTTGAGTGTGTTGGAGAAGGCTTAGCAGGACATATGTGTTGGAGGATGCAGCCGAGGGCAGGACGGAGAGCAAGGCCCTGGGTCCAATAGCGGGGCAGGACCAGGAAGCTCTCTGTTGTATTGAGGCAGCCACGGGGCCACGGTGGACGTATCTCATGTTGGCTGGGGCTGATGGATGTGGTGGCTCAAGGGGGTTCGGGTCCTGGGCATCCTAGGTTTCTGGGGGTGCAGGGCATTTATCTCCCTGCTTTCCCACCCCACCCCTGCCTGTCCCTAGCCATGGCACAGAGCCAAGGGGATAAGGACAAGATCATCGGAGGCCACCCATGCATCCAGCATTCCCAGCCGTGGCAGGCAGCGCTGCTGGCAGGTGTCACGTGTCGCTTCCTCTGTGGAGGGTCCCTGCTGTCAGACCGGTGGGTCATCACCGCCGCTCACTGCTCCCGCCGGTGAGTGACACCCTCCCCTAGTCTCATGCCGCGTGAATTCTAGTCCGGAGCCCCAAAGCTCAGCTGAGAACACGGACCCCGGCCCAGAGCCCAAAGTAGTACTCGGGCCCCTGTTGGCGAGGAGAGGGGAGGTCTAGAGAAGAGCCTAGAACCCGCCATAAATCTTGAACTCACATTAGATTCTGAGAGCAGGTTGACCGTTTAGAACCCACTTGCCAGCTTGGAGGCCCACCCAGAACCTGGACCCCGATGCGTAATCGCGAGATCCGTACGGAGGCTGGACGCCACACAGGGACTAAGAATCAGAGCCCATTCTAGATTGGTGGTCGAACTGGAAATACGGTCTCCCTTTCAAAACCGAAGACCCCTCTCAGAACACGGCCTAGAACCCAGCGTCGGGACTAGCTCCTACAGCCCAGCCAAAAATCCAAAACCCCACTTACAGCTTGATCGCCCAGCTCAGAGTATGGGAGAGAATCAGCGTCTGGAGCCCCTTCTAGAGCCAATGTTTAGTTCGGAGTCTAGTCTACAGCTCCCCTTTGAGCAGCCTAGAATCTAGACCTCAATCCAGGGTCTAAATCCCAGAAATGCGGACCATAATCTGAAACCGCATGCAGGACACATAACCCCTCTAAGATTCTAGACCTCGACCAAGGACCCAGGCTCCAGGTTCTCATTGTACTGCCTATGAATCCGATCTAATGCCATAGACTGAAGCTCGGTTTAGAACCTAGAGCCCGGAACTCAGCCCAGAGCCTAGAATGTGAAGCCCAGAATGCAAACCAGCATCTAGACGCTTGGATCCAGGGGCTCCGTTTAGAATCTAGAACCCAACCTGAAGTCAGGGGCTCAGACCAGAGTCTAGAACCAAGAGCTCAAACTAAACTATAATTCAATGTGAAACACAGCCCACTCTCGGATCAAGAGCTCAGACCAATGTTTAGAACCCTAAGCCCAAACCATTGCCTGAAATCCAGATTATAAACCAGAACTTAAGCGAGAACCCAGAACTCAACCTCGAAACTGCAGTTCATATCACTGTCCAGCATGCATGGCTCAGGTCTTAATCCATTCGTCAATGTAGCATCTTCACCCTACCCCAAAACTGAAAGCTGAAATCAATATCTAGAACCCAGGTTCAAGCTATGATGCAGAGCTCCAAATAAAACCCTCAGCTTGCCCTGAAACTGAAAGCTCACACCGGCATCTGGAACGTACGCCGCAATCCCAGCTCAATCTAGAACCCCAATCCCAGTTTAGGTTCCAAAGTCCAAAATGTCTAGAACCCAGAGGCTGGGCTAGAACCAGGAGGGACCCTCCCTGGAGCCTAAGCCAGAATGTCCATTCTGATTTAGAGCCTAGAGCCGTAGCCAGCGTCTGACTTAAACCACAGAGCAGAGAACCTGGCAATGGCCAAGAACTCCCAACTACCACTGTACACCTAAGCCAGAAGCCAGAAACCCCTCCTCCCTCAGACCTGGGAGTCCAGCTCAAGGGAGAAGGGGGAGGACAGTGGGCTGGGCCTAGAGAGACTCCCCAGGCCACGGGCAAGGGCACAGGAGGCCAACGAATGCTCCGCCCACCGTTAGAGGGGTTGGGGCTGGAGTGCGGGCTGGCAGCTCCAGGCCGGATCTTGAGCGGTGCTCCTGTTGGGGGTCATGGGCCAGGAACCTGTGGGTTGCCCTGGGCAAGCAAAACCTGAGGAAGAAGGAGGCCACCGAGCAGGTGCTGCGTGTGGTTCGCCAGGTGCCACACCCCCAGTACAACCCACGGACCCACGATAACGACCTGATGCTCCTGCGGCTGAGTCGGCCCGCACGGCTGGGGAGAGCGGTGAGGCCCATCCCCGTGGCCCAGAGCTGCGCCAGCGCCGGCACCTCCTGCCTCGTGTCCGGCTGGGGCACCACCACCAGCCCCATCAGTGAGGACCCCTGTGCCCTGAAGGCGGGGGGATGGGCTGAGGGAGGAGGAGGTGGGTTCGCCCCTTCCTGGGTCCTGTGGGAAGGTAGACCCAAGTCATGAGCCCTCAGTGCCTCCCCAGCCAGGTACCCCAACACTCTGCAGTGCGTGAACATCGACATCGTCTCAGACCAGCGATGTAAGAGGGTCTACCCTGGAGCCATCACTGAGGGCATGGTCTGTGCAGGGGTCCCCCAAGGCGGAAAGGACTCTTGTCAGGTAAGGCCCAGGGTGAGAGCCGGAGAGCGGGGAGGGCTTGGGGCTGGGACCTCAGTGCCAAAGCATCTCAGGAGCAAGACATTCAGAGGGACGAGTCCCTCAAGACCTAGTACGATGATGATAACCAGGCTCCCTCCTAGCTGTAAGCTCTTGCAATGGACCCAATCTTTCTGTGCCTCAGTTTCCTTTTTTTTTAAAGATTTTAATTTTTTACTTTTAGAGAGAGGGGATGGGAGGAAGAGAAACATCAATGTGTGGTTGCCTCTCACGTACCCTCTGCTGGGGACCTGGCCTGCAACCCAGGCCTGTGCCCTGACTGGGAATTGAACCTGCGACCCTTTGGTTCACAGGCTGGCACTCAATCCACTGGGCCACACCAGCCAGGGCTGCCTCAGGTTCCTTATCTGTCAAGCAGAGGTGGCACCTCCTAGAGCAGCGGGTGGGATTAGATGAGATAGTCCGCGTCCACGGAAAGGGCGCAGGACACTGCCCGCCCACAGTGCTGATCGCTGCTGTCATTGTCACCGTGAAACGTGGATACCCGGAGATCTGTGCTCAGGGTCTCTGGACATCTCAGTCCATCCCTGGGAGATGGCTCCAGAGGCAGGGGAAGGTGATGAGGCACACAAGGTTTTCAAGAGTCCGAGCAAAGACAAAGAGGGGCTCAGCGAGGCCCAGGGACAGCAGCCACCAAAGAAAAGAGAAGGAAGCGGCCCCAACCCCAGGCTGATACCCACAGCGTCCCCCCACCCACCGCCCCCGGGGGTCAGCCCTTGTGCCTTCCCATCTCAGCCTCTCAACTTCTTCACACCCGTGGCTCTGACCATCTGTCCGTGGGTGTCTCCATCGGTTTCTCCCCTCAGGGAGATTCTGGGGGACCCCTGGTGTGCAACGGACAGCTCCAGGGCCTTGTGTCCTGGGGCATGGGGCAATGCGCCATGGCTGGCTTCCCCGGCGTCTACACCAACCTCTGCAAGTACTATAACTGGATCCAGCAAACCATACGGAGTGGCTGACCACCCCTGCGACAGGACATCGACGCGCGCCGGCTGCCCAGACCTGTGCGCTCCACGCAAGACCCCGGGGGCCCTGGCCCCTAGCCCTTCCTCCCTCAGGCCTGGAGTCGAGACGACCGACATTCCGGCCCTGAGCCCTGGCCCAGGACCCCTCTCCCCAGCAGTCCCTCGGATGCTCTCTCCCCACCCCCCGCAGCATCACCGCCCTTAGACCCAGCGGGCAGGAGCCTGAAGGCACCACGCTGGCAACAGTTCCAACGAAGACAGTTGTCAAAATGCTTAGTGTCCCTAAAAACCTAGTACATGATAATAAAAATTGACAATTGAATAGCCCTAAATTCCATTCCTCCGTTCATTTCATTCATCCAACAAAGTCGCGCACAGCAGCTTCCTTGTGCACAGCTGGGGGCCGTGTCTGACCCTGGCTGAGTGGGCCGCACCTTCTTGCCTGGGGCTCTACCCGCTCCCCCATCCACCGCATCCGGTTGGAAGAAGGAGACCTCCCAGCCCCGCCCCGCGCCCAGCTTTGCGGTGTGACCCTGAGCAGGACTGCGCTCCCGCTCCCGTCTGGGTCCTGAGAGCGGGGAGTGCTGACGTGCGGGGCAGGGAGGGCAAAGATGCACTATTTCCTGGAAAACCCTATGCAAATGCAAAACTCTTCTTTTTCCTAATCAGATCTCAGGTGAAGAGAGTTGAGTTACTCACGCTCTGAAGTTCAAGTCCTGGCAGAGCCCTGCTGTCGTTATATTGGTTTATTTCCACCTGTCATTCCTGGTCTCCTCCCTCCCCACAGGCACCGACACGAATGGCCTCAGATGCCATGCGCCCAAATGTCAATGCGTTGTTGACATATTGCCTTGCTTCTAATTTACAGGAAACCATCATGTTATGAATTTCATTTTCCTTCTTACTTTCATTCATCGACAGCTATTTTATCGGGCACCTACCATGCACCAGACATTGGTCTACTTATCGGCCACCTACTATGCACCAGGCGTTGGTCTACTTATTGGGCGCCTACTGTGCGTCAGCCATTGGCTTATTATTGGGCATCTACTGTGTGCCAGGCATTGTTCTAGAAGGTGGAGCTGTGAACAAGCCAAACAAAACTAAATGCTTCTCCTCGCAGAGCTTACATTCTAGAGAAGGTGCCAGACGAGAAACAATAAACATAATTTAAAAGTAAAGTAGAGAGTCCCAGTGAGTAAAACTGTCAATAAACTTGGGCTGGGCGGCAGGCCCAGTGTGCGCTAGAGCCAGCTCATTCACACCAGCCCAGAAGGGCCTATTGGCAAGTTTTCAGGAATTTTGAGAGCAGGTTGCTAAACACAGCCATTATTAAAAATTAAATTACATAAACTTACAATTAAACATGGCATATTAAAAACAAACTCCAAGAGCAACTTGCTCCTACACATGTTGTCCATGAGGCTCAAATAAGCTCGTATAAAAATTTTTTTAAAAAAACACAAAAGAAAAAAGAAAAAGGAAGTCCTTAGGTACTCAAAACTCATCAATTCCTAATTATTTTTACAGATAGCCATGCTTTGAAGTTATTTGTATCTGTCACGTTATATCTGTAACGGTGGGCTTCCGAGCATCTCTTTCTGACTCTGTGTCAAGTGACTTTGCACTGGTAGGTGGATAGCAGCCCAGTGGCAGTATTTACACCACAGAAATTGGCAACCGTACAGATCAGAGAGCTGTTGTTAAATCCTTCCCAAAACACTGCCGGGCAGGTTGGCCTGGGAGTAGCCTGACGATAGAGTTGTGGTCTGTCTGCTCACAGTTCTGCGCTTGGGTGCTGCAGGGCTAGGACAGAGAGGAATGCAGCATGGCCGCACCAGTGCCTACTTGCTGTGCTGTAGGGGACAGCACAGACTCTGAGTGTTGCAAGGTGGCGGGTCTGGGACCTGGGTGACCATGGCAGCCCAAAGGTTCCTGGGACACAGAGGCTGCCCCTTCTGTTGCGGGGAACGGACACAGTGGGTCACCTACAGGTGGCAGCCCAAGAAGCTCTGGGCTGGGGGTGGGGGAGGGAGGGAAGAAAGCAGTTGTTTACGTGGGAAGCTTCAGGCCCTGGGAGAGATGAGGATACAGCCCTGCTCTAATTCTTGGCCTGCAGCCTTGTATAAAGCTAAGTAAACATACTTTAAAGATTACTTTAATCTGTAATCTCTCGGCTGTGGTGGTTGAGTAGTGAGTACCATATTGTATTGCTTCTCAGATGTATTTTCTTCTCACATTTTTATTTTTATTATTATTATTTTTTCATCCTCACACAAAGACGTGTTTCATTGATTTTAGAGAGAGAAGTGTGTGTGGGGGGCGGTGGGGAGAGGCATTGATGTGAGAGAGAAACATTCATCGGTTGCCTCCCATTTGCACCCCGACTGGGGATTGAACCTGCAACCTTTTGGTGTACAGGACAGTGCTCCAACCAACTGAGCCACTCAGCCAGGGCTCTTTCACGTTTTTAACATTTTCTAACCGTGAGAGGCAGACTACAACCAATTTAGCATTATGTCATAATTTAATCGACACCCCTTTCTTCTTTCTTACTGGCATACAAAATAATAACGCAAATACAATCCACAGCATTGTGGACTGAAAAAGGGGGGCTCTATAGACCGTAACCTCACAGGGTGATCTGATCATAAATTCCTAACTGGGCAGGTCATGGGGGACAGTCAAGTCCCGGGCATGTGACCTCTTCAGTAACAGATTTTAAGCCACCCCTGGCCATTGCTCTTGGGCACCTAGAAGGGAACATCTTTGAAATGCCAGGGGTCATGCCCTTCAAAGGGGGCATTAGCCCTCAAGAAAGCACACAATCCAATCCTCACCTTGTTTTCTCCCACCTCCCCGTAACCTTCTTTTGTTCCCGCCTTAATTTCAAAAGCAAAAAAGATACCCCAAAACTGTTATTCTCCAGAGCGTTTGAGATTTTGCTCCCCGGCCTACGTCTCCAGTTTGGCTCACATCAGCTCTTACAAAAACCATTTACAGGTCTGGGTCCCTCTTACCCTGACAGCGTTTTGGATTTAATGCAACAGGGTACCAAGGAAAGTGACTGTGGGTGAGGAGTCAGGTTGCCATATTAAATAGGTGACCTCATTCCACCACACAGTGTTAATCTATCCACGTTGCTGTTTGCTCATCTAGTTTATTGTGTCTAACGGTCACAGTCTTCTCAACCTGTGTGGTCCAACATGGTAGCCACTAGCCACTTGTGGTCATTTTAAAATTAAGATGAGCTCCATTCGACCCATGTTGCATTTCCATTGCTTAGTTGTACCGCCACATTCTGGCGCTCAATAACCACGTGTGGCCGGTGGCAGCCATATTGGGTAGAGCCAATAAAGAAAACATTTCCATCATCGAGGGAAGTTCTATTGGACGGTCCTGCTCTAGTCTGTGCCTCTGCTTCTCATAGCATTGTCCCAAGAACAGCAGACTTGTAACCACCTGACGCTTAGTAGACGTTCAGTCTTGGACCCCCACCCCAGACCAACTAAAGCAGGATCTGCACTTTACTGAGACCCCCAGGGGATTCCGTGCATATTAAAGTGTGCGAGGCACCAATCCATGGTGTCAACGTAAGAAACGTCCAAACTGGCAGAGAATTTTTATAAGAGTTTATTTGAGCCAAACTGACAGTGTGTGCTGGGGAGAAAGATCTCGAATGTTGTGGAGAGTAACAGTTTTGCAGCTTTTTTTTTTTTTTAAAGATTATTTTATATTTAGAGAGAGGGGAAAGGAAGGAGAAAGAGAGGGAGAGAAACCTCAATGTGTGGTTGCCTCTCCTGCTCCCCCTAGTGGGGACCTGGCCAGCAACACAGGCCTGTGCCCTGACTGGGAATCCAACCAGCAACCCTTTGGTTCACAGGCCGACACTCAATCCACTGAGCCACACCAGCCAGGGCGTGCAGCTCTTTTTATGTATTTGAAACTAAGGAGTGAAACCGTGGCCAAGTAGCTCAGTTGGTAAGAGCATCATCTTGAAAAGCCAAAGTTGTGGGTTTGATCTCCAGTTCGGGCACATACAAGAATCAATGATTGCTTAAGTGGAACAACAAACCGATGGTTTCTCTCTCTCTCTCTCTCTCTCTCTCTCTCTCTCAAATAAATAAATAAATAAGCCCTGGCTGGTGTGGCTCAATGGATTGAGCACCGGCTTGTGAACTGAACAGTCACTGGTTCAATTCCCAGTCAGGGCACATGCCTGGGTTGCAGGCCACGTTTCCCAGTAGGGGGCGCGCAAGAGGCAACCACACATTGATGTTTCCCTCATTTTCCCTCTCTCTGTCCCTCTCTCTGTAAATCAATAAATAAAATCTAAAAGGAAAAAAGAAATTAAGGAAGGAACTAAGGAAAATTAAAAGAAAGTAGAAGAAAGCAAGGCAGGGATTTGATTACAGGAAAATTGGTAAGATTATGTGCTCTCTTGAGGGTGGTTATGCCTTCAAGGGGTAGTACTTCTGGCATTTCCAAGGTATGTTAACCTGGATGCACAAAAACAATGGTCAGGACAGCCTTAAAAACTTCTCACTACAGGTGTGATAGGTCCGGCGCGAGACTACTCACCATGCCCTGCCCAGCTGGGAATTTGTGACATATTTCAGCTCCTCTTTTTCCTCTGCCATGTTAGTGACCCAGTCCCCCAGTGATGGACACACCTCGTTCCTTCTACTACCCAGGCAATGGCACAATGCCTACTGGGGTGTCGACCATAAACAAAAGTTGACTAGGTATTTATTTGGTCACCAAAAGGGATTTATTTATTTTTTAAATGCAATCCAGTATGGGCAGCCATGGCCAGCCACCTGGAAGTTCCTGCCAGGACAGAGATGGAGAAAGGACCCTGGAGAGGGGGAAAGAACCTTGAGGGGATGGGCTGTTACAACCAAGCGACATGGGAAACATGGATTGGATCCTCCAGGGCTTTCTCAACAACACAGGGAGTGAGAGCTCCCCCTCCCGACCAGCCCTCCCAAATC